GATATGAACAGACACTTCACCAAAGAAGGTATTCAGGTGGCTAACAGACACATGAAGAAATGCTCATGATCATTAGCCATTAGAGAAATGCAGATCAAAACTACAATGAGATATCATCTCACCCCAACAAGGCTAGCATTAATCCAAAAAACACAAAATAATACATGCTGGAGAGGTTGTGGAGAGACTGAACACTTCTACACCATTGGTGGGAATGTAAAATGATACAACCGCTTTGGAAATTGATTTGGCGCTTTCTTAAAAAGCTAGAAATAGAAGTACCATACAATCCAGCAATCTTGCTCCTTGGCATATATCCTAGAGAAATAAGAGCTGTCACACGAATAGATACATGCACACCCATGTTCATTGCAGCACTGTTCACAATAGCAAAAAGATGAAAACAACCTAGGTACCCATCAGCAGAAGAATGGATAAACAAATCATGGTATATCCACACAATGGAATACTACACAACGAAAAAGAACAATGATGAAGCTGTGAAACATCTTATAACATGGAGGGCATTATGCTGAGTGAATTTAGTCACAGGACAAATATTGTATGAGACCACTATTATAAGAACTCAAAAGGTTTAAGCAGAAGAAAACATTCTTTGATGGTAACCAGGGTGGGGAGGGAGGGTGAGGGTTATTTGCTAACTAGATAGTAGATAAGAATTATCTTAGGTGACTGGAAGGACAGTACACAGTACAGGGTACTGTCTCCTTTAAATCTTGCAACAACCCTATGAAATAGGAAGTATAACCTTAATTTTTACAGATAACAAAATTCCAGACTCAAAAAATTTTAAGCAATTTGTTCAAGGTGACTTTGCTACTGTGTGGCAAAGCTGGGATTTCAAGTCCAATCGATATAATTTCAAAGCCCATTTTTTCCTTTCATATCCTGCTTCTTTGTAAACTTCATAAGTTTAAATATACATGTTACCTTTAATTCTTTCTTTACGTCTGCCAATATCCTAGTTTAGTAAGATTGTAACCCATCCTTTCAAATAGCCACCTTTTCTCTAATTTCCCCTGCTTCTGCCCCATACACATCTATCACATTGACTTCCCTGTCAGATGGACTCATCCTACCCAACTCTGTGCCAATGTCTGCTTTAAAACAACAGACCAGCAGAAGTCCCCCAGTGGCTACTGGATGAAGTCTGTCCTCAGCTTAGCTCACCACAAAATCATGAAAACTATCAGAAACTTCATTTTCCTACTTTTCATTAGCATATATTCATGCCTTTGGGTGTCATCTATAGATTTCCTTGTGGTGGTCTTAGTGTTCCTTATAAGGATTTCATTTTCATGTTTAGACTAAATACATTAATCTTATGTTTACTCTGATACCGGCTTTGGTATCAGATGGAAGCAGCTTGGAGAACACCTCACCTTAGTTGCCCATCCAGTGTAAGAGCTCTTTGTGCTCTATTCATAATTTGATGAGCCAACCTCTGCTCCTACACTTTTCTAGAAGGATCCTTATTTTGAGAGAAGAAGGGGACAGTTCTAATTGTTAGAAATTTCCTAATATTGAGTCAGAATCTCCCTTCTGTTAACATCCATTTGTTTCCCAGGACTTGCCCTTGGGATAACAGTGAAGTCAGCTGTTTTTCCTCTGCTTTCTGAAGGTCCATCGGACACTTAAAGTCAGCTCTTCTGTCTCTCGTCAGGTTTCTCTTACATAAGCCAAATAATCTTGTTTGCTTGGTGCTTTTTTCCTGTGACAAGCCTCAAGCTCTCCCTCCCTCTGAGAATTCTGCTATTTTGTCAATGTCCCATGTAAAACTGAGGGCCCAGAACAGAACACAGAGCCCCCACAGGATAGCAGAACAACATTATCATCTTTCACTAGGACTATGTTTGTATTTTGAAAGCCTCTGATTCAGTTTTATGTCAGCCTTGTCACATTTTGCATTCGTTCAGTTAAAATACCCAGATTCTGTTTTATATAGGTGGTAGTTAAGCTGGCTCTCCCGTATCAGCAACTCTTTAATTGATTTTCTTTAATCTAAATGTAGAACTTTATAGTTTTCCTACTTAAATTTCATCTTCATTTTGCCACATCTTTTTTGCCAATTAAGATTCTACTATCCAGTGTGTTGTTAACTGTGTTCCTTAGTTTTAGGTCATCTGGAGATTTTGAAGCATGCTTTCAACATTTTCATCAAAGTTCTTGAGAAACATGGCAAAAACAGAGACCACCCACTACATCTCCAAGTTAATCGGTGCTGCTTATGAATGGTTCTGTTAACCACTGTTCTCTCATTTATCTTACATCTCTTCATCTTACCTGCAAAGATCTCTTTCATACAGTCAACAAATATTTATTTAGCACTTATGTGTAGGAGAGGTGCTGGAGACACAATATAGACAGCAGCCCCAGTCTTTGTGGAGCTAATAATCTGGTGACATCATGAAATATTTGTTAAATACTTTGCAGAAATCAAGTTACACGATTATCTGTGATTTTTTCCCTGAGAAAGTACCATATCAGAAAAGGGAATGAGGCATTACTTTTTGTAGACTCCATATTGGCTACTAGCGATCTTGTATCACCTGAACATGGGATTTTCCCCCCTTTCTCTTCTCACCTTTTGTGGTTTCACAATCACTTTGAGCTTTGGAAGTCTGTAGAGTTCATTGATGCCCTTTCTTTTGGCTACATCTTTTAAAGCTCTGAGCTCATTAGAAAGCAGCCTGTATAGTCACATTTTTGTTGCTGCTGGTGTTTAAATGCCTCTTCTTTCACGTTATCCGGATTGTTTTTTATTTTATAGGAAATTCAGTTATAAAGAATTTCTGTCCAACTTTCACCATTTCCCTTTCCACAGTCTTTGTTACTCAGATTTTACTTACGTTTTATGTTTATATTTTGAAATGGTCGTTCCTAAAGAGAACAGCTGACTATCCTCAGATTTTCTTCTCTTTTTTGTATTCTTAAGACGCTATAGTCACTTTCTCCAAGATCCCGGTCCTTTTCTTTTAAACCACTTATTTCTTTTAGTTTGCCAGAATAAGTGCAAAATCAGCATAAAACTTCAATATTTTGTCTATTTTCTGAGGGATTAAACTATCAACAATGCAAGATATTATGTTTTTACTAGGATGACACTGAGAGCAGATGTCTTCCTAGTTGGCAGCCCAGCCAGCTGTCTCCTCAGGTTTGCAGTCTCTCATCAGTCCAGTGTCACCCATCTCCTTCCTCTGACTGGCCAGTTCCCACAGCTGTATCATTTCTACCTACTCTGCTTTCCCCTTTGGTCCAGTGCTCTCTACTATCCTGTCTTACTCAAGTTTTTGGATTTGCACCTAGATGTTTATTTTCTTCAACAATTGTGAGGATTCCCTGCCTTTTCGTATAGATCAGTTTCTTTAGGGCAGCAGATTTCCTGCAGATGTCATAGTCTGTTGTTACCCCATCCCACCAAGTCTTGGTGATTTCCATGAGATTTTATTTATCTCCTTGAGTTCTTTTTAACTGTTGCTGCTACTTTTAAGTATAGTGCCTGGTACACTGATGTTCAATAAATAATATTTATGATTAATCTCAAGAAGTATTTGCCTTCTCTTTTAGGCTGTGAGGATATCATTGCTGAGAGTATCTCATTAGATACCTTAATTGCCATCCTCAAGTGGAGCTCTCATCCATATGGCTCTAAGTGGGTGCACCGGCAAGCTTTACATTTCCTCTGTGAGGAATTTTCCCAGGTCATGACTTCGGATGTCTTTTATGAACTCAGCAAAGACCATCTGCTTACTGCTATCCAGTCTGACTACCTACAGGTAATCATTTATACACCTCTCAAATTCATTGTCATTCATATGTACACCAAGAAACTCATCTGTACACTATTTTACTTCCATCTAGGGTAGGGTAGGGGGAGAAAAACAGGCTGTGATCAACCTTCCAGGAATACCATCTTCACTTGGTACCACTTTGTGCTCACTGGCCCTTCATGCACAGTGCTACTCAACATTGTGAGCAAGCACAGGTCCTGACCAGCGCTACCGGAAGGAGGTGGAGGCAGTAGGCAAGATCAGAAGCACATTCCAATAGTGGTTTTCTTGGCTTCCGTTAATGTAGATTCAGTATAACTGTTATTTTATTTTTAGTGGAGTATCAGATACTTAGATTGTTGACAGTACCTTAAGCAGTACAAAGTAAGAATGATAATTTCTGATCTACTGAAAATATTAAAAGCTCAGTGTATGTGCTCTGCCAAAGTATAATGTTTTGTACTATTTTAAATCAGAAGTCATTTTTAGCAAATTCTTGTCCTTGCATCATATATCAGTCTAACTTGGTGATTTAAACTAAGAACAGCTTTAAAATATTACAAAAAACATTTTTAGGTAGAGTGTGTTTAAGCTTAATTTTTTTGCATTGGCTATATCCATTTTATGCTGAAAATTATACGACAATTTTAGTACTATGAAGACATAAGCCCATTGAGCCAGTTCTTATTTCTTGTATTTATACTAGAAAAATTATGAAATGCTACCATCTCCGTCAGAAATTCAGTGACAGGTTAAATAACTTACTATCTGTGCTTTTCCTTCTTACATTACTTTGATTACAGTACAAATGTTGTCATAATCGGGTTTGATTTATTTAGGATCTTTCTTCATTAACCTTTGTTCACTCTCCTGACCCAGGCTGTATGCATTATGTTTATGGGAGTTGGGGTTTGTCAGTTCTTGTAGATTATTGTCTTTAGGAGCTTCGCATTTCTTCTTCGAAAGTAAAAAAAACTTGGAGAACAGCCCTTTGCTCTAAGTTTTTAAATAAAGTGTAAAGAAAGAGGGGCACATTGCTGTTTCACAGACTATATTTGAAGGGTCCTCGCCAATCAGTAGAGTACCTTCTGCCAAAACTGGAGTAGCCAGATATGCTCAAGTTGCCATGCTTGTTTTTTTCTGTCCTTGCAGGAAATCTAGTCACTCTATCTTCCTATACTTTTATTTCTTCATCTTGTTCAAAAAATAATTTAAGGCAGCTATATACAAATCATATAATAAGATAAAATAAATTTAAAATGGGTGGAGAGAGCAAGATAGAGCAAAAAAAAAAAAAAAAAATAGAAATAAGAATGAAAGTTTAGCTGGAGCCAAGAGTGAGGTTAATGGATAAAACACATGTAATTAGGTCTTGTATGTTTGCTGCTAATGGACTACAGATTTAAATCTGAAATTTCAAACAGCCAGTGTAAATAGTAAAGCATGATAAGTTGTGTGCTGTATATACATTATGAATTAGGAAAAGTCATTAATGAAATTACCCATATATGTAATTTTACTAAAATAAATATAAACCATTTTCTGTTATAGGCAAGTGAGCAAGATATCCTTAAATATCTGATTAAATGGGGAGAGCATCAGTTGATGAAAAGAATAGCAGACAGAGGTAAGCTCAGAAAATTAGCTTGCACTGTAAGTTTTTGGTGATTCTCATATTCCCAAAAGCTTACTGAAACGCACGCTACATATCAGTCTTGAAAATAGACACTATTGCCTGGTGCAAATAAGAAGTTTTTACAATCAGTAAAATCCTTTAGTGGAGAGGATATACTTTGTTAGAAATATTTATATTGGAAAATTTAATTTGCAACTTTAAAAGGATACTTTTTTATTTTTATGTTTCTGTGTGCCTAAAGTAAATGTTGATTATTCACAGATGTATTAGAATGAATTTTTCATATAATGATTAAAGTGTTACAAAAACATATTGTTGATGAAAGTGTTCTGGAATTAGATGGTGGTGGTTACCCAGCATTGTGAATGTATGACACTGAATTATATGTTTTAAAATGGTTAAAATGGTAGATTTTTTGTTATGTGACTTTTACCTCAAAAAAATATGAAAACAAAAAATTGTTTATTTTTAAATTTTTGTGGAAGTGAAGGAAAAATACCACTTCTGAATGATTTCTATTTGGGGATGGAGTTGGAAGCATCATATGTGGGAGGGTGCGCCTTCAGCTTGGGAAGCTTATGGTTCTCCAGCAGCCTTTTGTTTATGTCCCAGGTTAGTCCACTCACCTCTCCTCTTCCTCTCATGAAATACTATATCCCTATATAGTAGACCCAAATCAACATTTTTTTAATTAGAAAAATTAAATCTAGATTTCCCTTATCATTTTTAATAGCTTTATTAAGATATAATTTATATACCATAAACTTCACTTGTTTAAAGGGTTCAAGCCAATGTTTTTTAGTACACTCACAGAGTTGTCCCGTCACGTTTTTAAATATAATGAAATACCATGCTAAATCTGCCTTTGAACTTTTTCATAGTGTCCGTTTCATATGCTACTACCTAAGCACTAGGGAACAAAGGCAGTTCTCCTATTTTATTTCACCTAATTTATTTTCCTGTGCCTGCAAAAGCCTTTAGTAGTTCTCAGATTACAAAATAATTTGGAAACTTTTTGAAATGCCAGTATGTATAACACTACGTAATCATTATTCATTGATGTCAGGTGGGTGATGATGAAGTGTTATATTTATTATGGGTATATAATAAGCATTCTTGAAAAAATTCCCGTTAAAACAGAATTTTCAGATTGGGTTAAAATGGAAGACTCTTTTGCAGGAATGAGAAGGAAGCAAAGCAAACCAGGCTACATCTTGACTTCAGTCACCCTCACATTTAAGGGTTCTGCCGTTACCTGTTACATATTTGGAAGTTTCATGTAAATTTCATTTGAAAGCAGAGCTCCACTACTTTAAGGAAAAAAAAAACATTCGAAAATCAGTGCCTTTCAGTATATAAGTATGAAGCCAAATCATGGCAAGAAAAAAAATACCTTTTCCACACACGTGCAACACTTTTATTTTGAATGACTCAGAAAAAGCTTAGCTTCTCAAAACAAAATTTCTTTATATACATATGTAGCACATAATTAGAGAGAAATTCTAGTTTGTCTATAGAGTATTTGCAAAAAATGCAGTGTTGATGTTCATGAATTATAAAAGTTGTTATTCAGTGGTAATTTTTTTTAAGAAAAAAAAACTGCAGCCCCCTAGATTGAAGACATGATTGATGATTTCCAAAATTTATGTAATTTTCTTTCCACCTCAATATCATAAGCATATATATATACTTGACATCTTCCCCTTTCACTAATACCCAATGAAGAAAACCTTTATTCTCTGCTCTGGAAGATGGAAATATATTACATGTCAGAGATCAAAGGTTCACTTTTATGTAGTAACATTCCCATGGTATGGAAATTTAGGTTAGGAGACTGTCATAAAAATTTTGAAGTTAGATCCGGTGCATATTATATTTTGCTGCTTTGGGCACCAAGGGATTAATGTCTTATTAAATTGCTGTTAAACATACGGTAGCCTAATGAAAATACTGATAACCTACAGTGACCAGATACAGCACATGTCCTGTGATGCCATGATTGTGCTAAAAACTGGCCACAAAAAGATGAGAAAGCTTAAGAAAAATCCCTGATCAAATAGACTTTGATAAATTGTCATCTTTTCTCCTTGTGAGTTAATATACAGAAAAGAATCCTTTATTCCTTAAGGCAGAACAGTTATAAAAGAGTGTTATTGTGCTGTTGACACTATTCTTTTTCTCTGTCCAAGAACATCTCTATTAAATAAACTTCTTATGACATAAAAATAATTTATTTATAACCTTTTTCAAAGCATATGTACTCAAGTATATTAGAGTGTTACTGAGACTATACTAAAGAAAGAAAGCTTTTCTCTGAATATTTGGATTTGGTTGGAAACCTTTCATTTTCTGTCTCCTAGAGCCAAACTTACTGAGTGGCACTGCTCATAGTGTGAACAAAAGAGGTGTAAAAAGACGAGACCTGGATGTCGAGGAGCTTAGAGAGATCCTTTCTTCTCTGTTACCTTTTGTGCGAATTGAGCACATCTTGCCTATAAACAGTGAAATCTTAAGTGATGCAGTAAGTGTCTTTCTTCATTTGTCCTTTTCATGAAAAGAAAAATACACCAAAGTGTGCTTATCTTGTTTTCTAATCATTATAAATAATTTTACTACTAATTGAATATTGCTGAACCCTTAAGTTCCATGAGGACAGAGACAGATGTCTGTTTGGTTCAATAATGTGTCCCCAGTGTCTAGCACACAGTACAAGTAAATGTTCGGTGAACAAGAGTTCAGTGGGTAAATTGGTCTCAGTTTTGCAGGAGCATAGTTTCCAGGGGAGTTAGTTCAGTCATTTTCCAGTGTAGACCAAGTAGTTCCTCATTAAAAAGGAAAAGGTAGAAATCACCTTTGGAGACTCTTGAAGAACAGCAATACATCACATAGAACAGGAAGGAGAGCAGGGTTTGTTCAGTGTAGAAAGGATGAATGAATCTTAGAATTCTGTTTAACACCCAGTTAAAAATTAATGGAGCAATCATGTTACTTCCATAATTAAAAAAAAAAAGTTGGTAAATTTTTTCAGCTAATAGAATTGCTCGAATTAATGGATGGGAAAAATAAATATTATCAGTATTAGTTCTTCAAAGTTGGTTTATAAATTTAATGTAGTTCTTATAAGTATCATAATAGATTTTTAAACCACACAGAAACATTATAAAAGTCATCTTGAAAAATAAACTGATTTAAGTTCTTTAAAAAGGGCATAATGAAGGAGGGAATAACTCTTCTAGGATCTAAAATATATTTTAAAACTCTATGAATGTTTAAACTGTGATGCTAGTGTAACAGGCAAGACGAAATAGTCCAGAAAAAATCCTAATTAATGTAAGAATTTAATGTATAATGAAGGAGCTATCACAATCGTTGTGGTGCTGGAGTAACTGATCAGCAAGAGGGGGACGTTTGCTTAAACCCTCATTGCACTTGCACACAAAATTAATCCCTGTTAGACTGAAGAATTAAATATTAAATTGAAGCATGGAAAAACTAGAAGAAAATTAAATATTTATGGAATCTCTGATTTGAAAAAATGTTCAGTCTCACTGGTAATCACACCAAAAAAAAGCAAAATAAGACAGTATGTTATTTTTTTCACATGTTAAGCCAGTAATTTTTGAAATATCTCTACCCCCTAGGGGAGGTACAGCTGGTACATTGGTAGCATTGTTGATTGAAGCAATCCAGATGAATAGCAATTATCTGTTATCAAGAGCCATCAGAATGTTCATATACTTTGATAATTCTGCTTTTGCTGGTCTTGAAATAATTCCAAGTGTGGTTTAAAAAAAAACAAAACAAAAATATTGAAAATATTAAAGTTGTCAAGGATTTCATTTTACTTGAATCCACAATCAACACCCATGGAAGTAGCAGTCAAAAAATCAAATGACATATTGCATTGGGCAAATCAGCTGCAAAAGGCCTCTTTAAAGCGTTAAAAGGAAAAATGTCACCTTGAGGACTAAGGTGCACCTGACCCAAGCCATGGTATTTTCAGTCACCTCATATGTATGTGAAAGCTGGACATTGAATAAGGAAGACCAAAGAAGAATTGATGCATTTGAATTACGGTGTTGGTGAAGAATATGAAATATACCATAGACTGCTAGAAGAATGAACAAATCTGTCTTGGAAGAAGTGCAGCCAGCATGTTCCTTAGAAGCCAGGATGATGAGACTTCGTCTCACTTACTTCAGACATGTTATCAGGAGGGACCAGTCCATAGAGAAGGACATCATGCTTGGTAAAGTAGTCGGTCAGCAAAAGAGAGGTAAACCCTCAACGAGATGGATTGACACAGTGGCTATAGCAATGGGCTAAAGCGTAACAAGGATTGTGAGAATGGCACAGGACCAGGCAGTGTTTCATTCTGTTGTATGTAGGATGTAGGACTCATAGGTTGCTATGATTCAGAACCAACTCGATGGCACCTAACAACAGCAGCAGTGGTTTTAAAATACAGATATGCACAAAAATGTTTATTGTTGTAAGTGTTATTTAAATATTTGGAAATAGCCTAATAACACGGAAAATGAAAGTAATTTATAGTATGACTATTCAACAGACTATTCTGTTGCCCTGAATGGTGATTATAAAGACTAGCAAATATAGGAACATGGAAAATGCTAATGATGTAATATAACTTGAAAAAAGAAGATACAAAATATATATACTTTTATGTATTCTAGAATTCAGTTATGTAAAAGTTCATTTGAAAAAGACTGGAATATCATTATTACAGTTATAATAGAGTTATGAGTTTTTTATATTTTATAAATATTATATAATGCTATGGAGCCCTGGTGATGCAGTGGTTAAGAGCTCGCTGCTAACCAAAAGGTCCGCAGTTCAAATCTACCAGCCGCTCCTTGGGAGCCCTAAGGGGCAGTTCTGCTCTGTCCTATAGGGTCACTGTGAGTCGAAATTGACTCGACGGCAACAGGTTTTTTTTTTTTAATATGTAATGCTATCTTTAATCATATAAAAATAATTTTAACTAATGTAGCAATCAGATGCTTATTATACTTAACAAGAGTAATATTGGTGAAGGAGCCTTGTAGTGCAATAGTTTAGTGCTCAGCTGCTAACTGAAAGGTTGAAGGTTCGAACTCACCCACTGGCTGCACAGGAGAAAAACCTGGCAATCTGCTTCCCTACCGATTACAGCCTAGAAAATCCTGTGGGGCAGTTCTACTCTTGTCACATGGGGTCGCTAGTAGTTGGAAAGGATCGATAGCACCCAGCAACAATATTGGCAGAACAGTTTTTGGTTTTGTTTAAAACCTGGGACTCAAACCAAATTGAACCCTCTAGTATTTGGTTTAGAAAAATATTTTAGAACTTTGCTTTAGTAGTCTTAGAAAGTATGTATCTCCCCTCTTAATTCCATGCCTAACACGTAATTATAATCCTTAAGAAAGATTTACTAATAATGACCATTAACCTTAATGTTCTATTAGAATGTACAAGGCAATGGGCTAAGTGCTTTTATCTGCATTACCTTCATTAAATCCTCACAACCACCTTATGAGCAGTAGGTACTTGATTTATATTTATATTCCCATGGTATAGATTAGAGAACAGCAGGGCAACCACATTCAGTCAGTTGGACAGTGCTTTAAACTTAGGGCCGTACATGAGCTCTTAAAGGTAAAATGGGATGCCCATGGTCACATGGCTATTAAATGGGAAGGTAAAGTTTAAGCCAAGTCAGCCTTCCCGCAGAACCTATGTTCCTAGCCACATATTGCCCTTCATCCTTGTACTGTAGACATAGGCCCAGGTAGATGTTTCTGATTGTTGGAGGGAATGGAGTCAGTTCCTAATTGAATAAGGAAAAAAAGTGAAAATTGTTTTTCATTAAGAGTTCTTAAAGTCCAACTCATTATAGTTTTAAAATAATGTATCTCTTTTTAAAAACATCCTTCCTCTGTTAGAGAAAAATGGAAAATTATATATACTATATGTGGTACTAAATTATATATTTTATTGCTGAGCCCTTTAAATATTATGAAACATATTTTTAAATTTCACATATCGCTATATTTTTTAAGTGGTAAAGTTTGGACATTTTTATTTATAGGGACAAATATATTTCTGTTTTAGTTGAGTGTACACAAATCTGTAATTTATCTTAAAAAAATGTTTTATTTTGTTTTTTTAAGATGAAAAGAGGCTTGATTAGTACTCCTCCATCAGATATGCTTCCTACAACTGAAGGTGGAAAGTCAAATGCCTGGTTACGGCAAAAAAACGCTGGTATATATGTTCGTCCTCGACTGTTCTCCCCCTATGTGGAAGAAGCAAAGGTAATGAAAACCATTTTAGGATATTAGACTACTTTATTACACACTATGTATACAACGATGTTTATTCTGGTACTTAAATATTTGGAAATACCTTAAATATCCATTAATAAAGAAAGTGAAAGTAAGTTCTTGTTAGACTACTCAACAGAATCGTTTTCGGAAATGTTTAATTATCAAACGTGTTTTTAAAGCTTAGGTCATGTTAAAATGCTTTTTATAGTTTTCTCACTGTAATTACCTTGTAAATTGTTAACTTGGGGGGAAAATGTCATTTTACAAAATGGTAGTTAAGTATTTTGTGGTCTTGAGGATGGGGAAAATGTTCTAAAAGAAGATTGCCACATTTTGTTTTCCTTAGTAAATGTAAAGAAATGCAGGGCTTCGTGTAAGCTGTTTCTAGAATACCTGACTATTGAGAATTGTGTTTGATTTTAGAATAAGTGTTAAAACTAAGACAGAATTTCAGGCTATTATGTAAATAGTTGGCATTATGTATGTTATAACAAAGAGCTCTCCAAGAAAATATGATAATGTGAAAATGGAATTCTGTAATTTTTATTAGATGCATTCTAAATAGGAACTTTGGGTTGGCATTTTGAGGAACTGACAGTCTTTGAAAGTCAGAAATCACCATTAAACTTTCTAAAACAAATGTAAAAGGCAAAACAATTTGGGTGTAGAATTAAGTTGCCTTTAAATTTTCTCATTTTTGGTCGAGTTTCTAGTTTAAGATGTATGAAGGGATTTGGGGGAAATTTACCTTATTTTGTTGAATAGGTATATAATCTAACTCTTACTGAGTAGTTGGCATTTTGAATAGTTCTAAAATTTAGGGGGAAAAAGCAGAATTGTTGGGTCTGGTCTTTCTGAAATAGATTCAGTACTCACTCAGACAGCTGGAGGACTTCACAAAAGGTTGATTAAGTAATAAAAGGTCTGTAGTAAACTAGATTTCACCTCCATTCTCCTCTGTGTCAAAATGGGACTGTGGAAAGCTAGTCAGACAGTCCTTCTTGGAACTTGCATGTTTCTCAGATGGCTCTGCCCATACACAAGTGAACAGTTGCCCCTAGTGAATGTGAATAATGTTTGTACATTTATCTCAATTTGGCCCTTCTGCAGTTTCGTGAGATAGATTCATATGAAACTAATTTAACAAAATTGGGTTTATTTGTAAGTCTTCTAATTTAATATTAATCTTTAATATTTTTTATTTTGAGCGTTTTTCACTGGATCTGATTTTAGCACATGTACACATTGTTTTCTTTATAGTACTTTTATGTATAATTTATTTCTTATTAATATCCCTCCATCAAATTTCATATACTTCAATTAAAAGCAAATTTTTCAGATTATTATTTCTTTTCAAAGAGGCTCCAAAAAAGATTCTTTAAAAATTAAAGTGGTAGGGTAGTTTCTCCTTTCCCCACTAATTTTAAACCTTATGAACTAGAGACTATAAACTAATTCCCATTTTATATGTTGAAGGCAGTAATCTTCCTCCAGGTGTGATTTAACAGCGATGACGGGTTGACTAACTCTATTAATATTGAATTATTATTCCAGTCAGTGCTAGACGAGATGATGGTGGAACAAACAGATCTTGTGCGTTTGCGAATGGTTAGAATGTCCAATGTGCCAGACACACTTTATATGGTCAGTAACGCTGTGCCACAGTGTTGTCACATGATCAGCCACCAGCAGATCAGCAGTAACCAGTCAAGCCCTCCTTCAGTTGTAGCCAATGAAATTCCAGGTAAGGTGGTAGCTTTTCATCAGGTGTTTATATTTGCATGAATAATTTTATCGTTTTTGTAATTGCTGATCGGACCCCTTTGTGTCTGCTAATTCTCTCCACATTTCAATACCCATTATGCCTTTTTCTCTACTTATAAGCTAAGATTTTTGTTTTGTGTTTTATTTTACATTTACAAGTGTGTACAGTTCTTCAGTTCAGAGCAGAGTTTTCAACCGTGGCTCTAGTGACATTTCCAAAACCCACTGCCATTGAGTCAAATCCCACTCATAGCAACCCTATAGGACAGAGTAGAACTGCCCCTTAGGATCTCCAAGGCTGTAATCTTTTTGGAAGCAGATTGCCGCATCTTTCTCCCGTGGAGCAGCTTGTGGGTTCAAACCGCCGACCTTTTGATTAGCAGCCAAGCACTTAACCACTGTGCTACCAGGGCTCCTAGGTGCCACCAGGGCTCCGTTAGTGACATTTAGGGCTGTATAATTCTGTGTTGTAGGGAGATGTCACGTGCATTGTAAGATGTTCAGCAGCATCCCTGGCCTGTACTCACTAGATGCTGCCCCACCTTCCAGTTGTGACAACCAGCAACGTTTCCAGACATTGCCAGATATGCCCTGGGGGGCAGAATCATCCCCTGTTGAGAACCACTGGTGTAGCAGAATTTTTTTTGTCACCACAGGGTATTTCTCACATTATAAGACCTATTGGGAAGATAATATGAATTTATACCTGGGTCAGGTACTTCTTTGAATCAATATATGCCCCAAAAGAATGTGATGCCCATTGGTTTCCTGGAGATCCAGTTTCTCAACATCTGCTCTTTGAAGTTTGTTTTATTGCCAGCTTATGTGTTATTACTCTGGGGCAGTTGCCCACGGATGGAGGTGTAACTGATATCCCCAAAAATTTCTGAGCAAAGGGCTCTAGTGTTAATTCATAAGAGAAGAAAAAACAACACTGATCCAGTGGTCAGAAATGTATAGCTCTTTCCAGTTACCACTACTCAAAACATACATTGAATAACAGTATGAAGAGAAATATTTCTTTAGCTGATTTGTGTAGCTTTTGTAGCTTTGGTAATTAGCATTATTTTTATAGGCTTGAGTTAATAACAATTGAATATCAGCATAAAATAATCTTAGAACAGAATCTAAAAACCAAAGACATTCACAATTATGAATGCTCAGAAGAATAAGACTTGTTTTTCTGTAGTTTAGCTAATGAGACATGGCTGTTCTGGTGTCGCCCTAGGTCCCTCTCTCCTCTTGCCCACCACACTAAGCAGTATAGCTAGTCTAGCTTAGTGGTGAAGACTTGTGGACTCATCCTGCCTCTGCCTCTTTATTTGTGTGACTTTGCACAAGCTGCTTGCCTCCCAAGGCATTCATTTCCTCATCTCTGAAATGGGGATACTATCTCCTTTCTGGGCTGTTGTGAGAATTTAATGAAGCACCATGAGTAAAACGCTTACAAGTTTGCCTGCACAAAGTAAACACTTAATAAACAATCGTGTCCCTTCCCACAAAAATTAATAATCAGTCACCACTCCAGACAGTTTACCTAATAGCAGTCTGTAGGCTTCATCCCCTCTTCTCCAGCCCTACTGTTTACAAGCCTCAGTGCAGGCTCGGGAACTGTGGTAGTAGCCTCCTCACTGGTGCCCTGTCTCTAATCTTAACTCCCATTCTGTTCTTTACACCAGAGGTCAGCAAGCTTGTTGAGTAAAGGCCCCGACAATAAATATTTTAGACTTTGAGGACAATATAGTCTCTATCACAACTACTCAGCTCTGCCGTTGTAGGTGAAAAACAGCCATAGATAATACCTAAATAGATGTGGCTGTGTTCCAGTAAGACTGTATTTACAAAAACAGGCAGCAGGCTGGAGTTAGCCTTCAGGCCACAGCTTGTCGACCCTGCTTTACACTCCTGCTGGAGTGCTGTCACTCAATCACAGCTCTGATCCTGGCATTCCCTGCACAAACGGCACCTACTGTACACAGGATACAGTTTAAACTCCTCATCACGACACATGCTCTGCCCCTACCGGTCTTTTTATCCTTCTTTCTCAACACCCTTCCTGCTTATACCTTTGAGCCCTAAGCTCTAGCTACGCTAGCTTCTTACACCGTGCTGTCTCTCACTTGAAAACCTTCATCCTGCATCCTCTGCCTGGCTAGTTTCCTCTCATCCTTCAAGATTCCACTCAGGATCCACCTCGTCTAAGAAGCCTTTCCTGCCTGCCGCTGGTCTGGGTCGGGTGCCCTTCCTCCACACCCTTCAGCACCGTGTGCCTGTTTCCTTCCCTGTTCTGTGCTTGTTTGCTTTGTTTACTTCACTGACGCCAGAACTTTTTGAGGACAGGGAGCATGTCTTTACTGTGGGGACTCTGGAGTCCAGTCCCTAACACATAGGACGCAAAATCTTATTTGAATAAAAGAATGAGTGTATTTTGAAGACTTATGAAATACTCTGAGATTCAGAAGAGAATATGTGTGAATAAAATTTTATTCGGACTATGAACTGAACTAATACAACTCTGGAACTGTTTGGTATGGTCAACCTTGAAAAAATAGATGTTTAAAACTATTGCCCTGAAATAAACCTTAAACCAAAAATATCCCTGAAGTCTTAAAACCAAACAGTAGTTTAGCTTAACTAGTAAAAAAGCATTATGCTGTTTTAAGATCTATATGGGATCAAAGTGACAACAGCAACTCAAAAGATTAAATAGGAACCTTAGGGGGCAGTGAGCTTATGTTAATGGGGTAAGAACAACTCAGAAAAGGAGGGTGAGAATGGTTGCACAGCTCAAAGAGTGTGATCCATGTCACTGAATTGTACATGTAGAAACGGTTGAACTGGTGTATGTTTTGCTGTGTATATTCTCAACAACAACAACAAAGTTAAATAAAAATAATTATATGTATATAAATTAACATATTGCCAGGAAATTAAAATACTGTTAAAAAATTGTATAAGAGATTCTGATGCAAAACATGCTTTTTAAAACTCTTATGTGCTCATGGGGTGGTCTTTTGTGTACTCAGCTCATGTATTTTGCTTACACACAGTCTTTCTTTTTGCAGTTCCTCGTCTGCTCATTATGAAAGACATGGTCAGGCGTCTGCAGGAACTCCGACACACTGAGCAGGTGCAGAGAGCCTACGCGCTTAACTGTGGGGAAGGCGCCACTGTCAGCTACGAAATCCAGATTCGCGTGCTCAGAGAGTTTGGGCTTGCAGATGCCGCCGCGGAGCTCTTGCAGGTAGGAAACAGCATTAAACTGTATTTAAAATAGGGAGCCTCAATCATTTTTCAGGGACTATTTAGTCATTCTGAGCAACCTGTTTGGGTTTATATCCTGACTCTGCTGCTTATTAGTTGGTTAACTCGGAGCAAGTTCCTTAACCGCTCTGAGCATCAGTTTCCTTACCTGTAAAATGGGTTGTTGTGAAGATAAGAGGTGCCGTATGTAAAGCAACTGAGTATCTGGTACATAATAAGCATATAAATGGCAGCTGCTAGAAGACCCTTGGTATGAATGTCTGGCAGAGGAAGTAGAAAATTCTAACCCTCCACTGCTCTCTCGCTCTGGTTTGGTCACTAGATTTCAGGTTCGGCCTATTACCATACTTCTAGATCTTCCACATACCCCTCTTTTTTCTTTCTCCTCTCCCTTAAACAAGAAATTTTTTTGCACAGGGGCTCAAACCATACAAGCATGAGAATCAAGGAATGTATGCTTTTTTTTTTTTTTTTTTTTAACCCAGCTGAAAAAGAACACTCATTTCTAATCTGAGGTACGAAAGCAGTAGTATTGGTTTGGCAGTTACGATAGGGTTTGTAAAGTAGTCTGATCATAGCCACTAAAACAGAGCCTAAAATAAAATTTAATTTCATCTGGACAAGTGATTTAATTGTTTTCTGACAACCGAGTCTGCTTCAGCCCACGTCTTCAAAAGGGTAAACATGATACGGTGTTCTTAGGCAGGACGGCGGGCCATTTTTAAGTTCATGATTTTTCTATTTTTGCTGTGGTCTCTATAAAATATATAGTCTGGTTTTCTGTTTATCTGTATTCTCTTTGACAGTCTACATTGTATCTTAATTTATATAAAGTTTTATAATTTAAGTATTTTCATATGTTTATCAAAATGTTAATCAAACTTAGTCATGTATAATGTGTAAGGTATATTATTTTCTAGTCCTTTATTTCAGACTGAGAGTGTTCAGACTTCTGTCAGGGTATTTTAGGAGGATCCTTAGTAGTATACCTTTTCTTCCTTTAGTGTTTAATGTTAATTTTATTAGGAAAGCCCATGTGAATTAGGTTTTATTATGTTTTTTCATTATCGCATAATCTTGCAAGAGATTACTGACCTGCTTGCTGGTTATTAAGGTCATTTTTTTCTTGGGCTTCTGGCCTAGAAAAATGTGTTGTGCCCTTTACTCTTGCTGAATGTGGTTTTCTCAGGTAGCTTACTTAATTCTTTCAGCCTGTAAATTTCCATCTAAGAAATCTGCTAATAAATATTCTTTTTTTTTTCTTTTTTTAATCTTTCTTAGAATCCTCACAAGTTCTTTCCTGATGAGCGTTTTGGGGATGAAAGTCCACTCTTGACAATGAAACAGTCTGGGCGATGTCGGGTTAACAGTACCCCTACTGCAGAAACCATGTTTACAGATCTGGACTCTTTTGTGGCCTTCCATCCACCCTTGCCTCCTCCTCCACCTCCGTACCACCCCCCAGCTACCCCGATCCATAACCAACTGAAAGTGGGTTGGAAGCAAAGACCTCCCAGTCAGCATCCTTCACGGTCGTTTTCTTATCCCTGCAATCATTCCCTCTTTCACTCCAGAACACCTCCTAAAGTGGTCCCTCCTCCAGTCTATTTGCCAAGTGTTAAAGCAGCACCCCCTGATTGCACAAACACTGCAGGACTGGGGAGGCAGACAGTCGCTGCTGCTGCAGCGGCGGCATCAGCAACAATAACGTCTGAGAAACAAGTGGTAAGTCAACACTTCAGTTGTTGTTGTTAGTTGCTGTCTAGTCGACTAACTCACGGCGACCTTAAGTATAACAGAACGACACGCTGGCCAGTACTGCGCCATCTTCATGATCGTTGGTGTGTTTGAGTCCATTGTTGCAGCTCTGTGTCAGTCCATCTCATTAAGGGTTTCCCTTGTTTCCACGGACCCTCTTTACCAAACATAATGCCGTTTTCTGATGACGTGTCAGAAGTGAGTGAGTTAAAGTCTCACCATCCTCACTTCTAAGGAGCATTCTGGCTGTGTTTCTTCTAAGATTGACTGATTGATTCATTCTTCTGGCAGCCCATAGTATATTCAGTATTCTTCGCCAACACCACAGTTTGAACGCATCAGTTCTTCATTGTCCAGATTTCACATGTAGATGAGGCAATTGGAAAGACTAATATTAGAAGCAATTCCTTTGGCCCCAAGAGCCCCACTGGGATTCAGCTGTGCCCAGAAGTGTTACTGACAAACTGAAAGCATAGACTTGAGGGGTATGGAAAAGAGAGAGAGAGATGGTGTAGGTGAATGAGAAAGGACAGAAGCAGAGAGACTGGAGGTGTATGCAGTAGGAGCAGTGGAGTGCCTTCCTTATCCTTATTTTAATTGCAAGTATTACAAAGGGTTAATGGGCAGTGGAGCCCTGGTGGCATGGTCATTAAGTGCTTGGCTGCTAACTGAAGGGTTGGCGGTTCCAACCCACCAGCAGCTCCATGGGAGAAAAGACCTAGCAGTCTACTCCTGTAAAGATCACAGCCTAGGAAACCCTGTGGGGCACGTCTCCTCTGTCGTATAAGATTGCTATGAGGCAGAATTGACTCGACGGCACACAATAACAATGGACAATATAAGTGCATGCACGAGTGTCGTAATGGTCTCCTAAGTCCATGCCTAGAATCTATGCCTAAATTCTAGTCTACTGTTCTGTAGAATCTGTTATTGTACAGAATGCATTGATGGGACAAAGAGGGCAAGTTTCTTAGGCCAAGTGTACCATCAGGGACAACGTTGCAAAAGCCTCCCTGTTCAGAAAATGGGCAGAAAGTTCATCCCCTTGCATCTCTGCCTCCAGCAAGCACGTCCATCAGAGCGCTCGTTTGACTGTGAGTCACAGCAAATGCTGGGAGATACTAATTCAAAAGAGAATTCCATACTCGATTTTACACTGCATTAGAGGTGGAATTTCTGGTTTATTTAATACATTTGACAAAAAATAATGATCTTTAAGTCTTCATACTTAGTCACACACTGTCAGTAGTGTTCAGTATAGAGAAAAACAAATGATAATGTATTAGTTTGGGGAAATGTCGTTAAAATATGGCGTATTAGAAGCTACGGACTAGTGTGCACCTTAGGCCAAGTTATGATTCTTCCTCACTGCCTTAGACCCCGCTACCCACTCTCCCCGCCACAGCCCCCACTCCCAAATCAGAAACAGCAAAGGTTGAAGTGTTTGATAAGCCAGACTCCTGTCCTATTGGCTTGGCCCCCCCGTGTCTATAGTTACAAAAGTTCTACTCCTTTGTATTTTAAATAAAACTCCCTTTAAAGGTAATTTGTATGTTCATTTCAGTCTTGCTTATGATAATGAAAAATTGTGAACAACCTCAATGTCCAGCAGGAGGAGAATGGTTAAGTCATGGTTCATCAACACATGGAATATTACACAGTAATTGAAAATGGTGATTTCAGAGAAAATTTAAGGGTAGAATTATGTATGTGCTAAATTTTGTGAAAATTAATATATATGCAAAGAAAAAAGGTACAAGAAATACCTTGAAATACCTCAAAACGCTAATAGCGGTTATCTCTGGGGAAAGTTAGGGGTGATTTCTTTTTTGCTTTTAGTTTTCTGTATTTTTTTAATTCTTAAAAATAAGCATGTATTACTTCTATAATCAGACAAAATCAGTGAACAAAGAGGGATTCATGGGCCTTTTTTAACTACACCCATTTCTTTTCTGTTTGCAGTGTACACAGCCTGTGCTAAATGATCTAATGCCAGATATCGCCATGGGGGTATCTACATTGTCACTCAAGGACAGGAGGCTTCCAGAACTTGCTGTAGATACCGAACTAAGCCAGTCAGTTTCCAAAGTAGGACCGGGGCCTCCCCAGCATCTGTCGTGTATTCCACAGAGGCATACACACACTTCTCAAAAGAAACACACACTAGAGCGAAAAACAGATGCTAGAGAAAATCAGCAGGAGTATCCAGATTTCTATGACTTCTCAAATGCTGCTTGCAGACCTTCTACTCCTGCTCCTAGCAGACGTAGCCCTCCCCCTTCACACGGTGGATATTTTGGTCCCGATTTGTACAGCCACAATAAGTCATCACCAAGTGGCTTAAAGTCAGCCTACCTACCTAGCCAGACCTCTCCTAAAAAACAGGAGGAAGCTAGGAGAGAATATCCACTTTCCTCTGATGTGCATCTACACAGACAAAAGAATGAGCCGATCCACCTCGATGTCGTCGAACAACCTCCCCAGCGGTCAGACTTTCCTTTGGCAGCCCCAGAAAACGCTGGTAATGGTCCAGCCCATGTCAGGGGACGAACAGCAGTAGAAACTGACTTGACTTTTGGGCTGACTTCTAACCGACCTTCCCCTTCCGCATGTGGCTCTGAAGCTCCAGAAGAGAGATCCAGTAGGAGACTGGCAGACAGCGAGTCCCTGGGCCATGGAGCCCAGAGAAACCCGGATTTGGAAAGAGAGGATTCAGTAAGCAGAGGAAGGAGGTCACCAAGCAAGCCCGACTTCCTCTACAGAAAGTCCGCCCTCTGAGAGCATCCTCCACGTCGTCTGTGCCTAAGATGTGAGACCTCCCATTTATGATGGAACCCAGCAACTTACAGACCAGTTCTCCATGCCAGCTGACGGCTCGGGCTCACATGATCTCATCCTTATTTTTGTATATATGTGTTTATCACACATAGCATGCTAGGAGGGTTGTTTTGAATGCTGCATCTGTCTGTTTTGTGTTTGAACAGTTGTGTGGGGAAGCATTTTTAAGAGCAAGCAAGCTGGCACTTTTTTTCCTCTTTACAAATGATGGAATTTTTTTGCACTTGTATGTTTATTTTATCCGTATTGGTTTTTTATCAGTATGCTAAACTTTATTGCCACATATAAAGGACTGTATTTTCATACTTTTTTGCATTTTACCTTTCATCTACCGATTCCCATGTGCATTGGATTGCACACTAAGATGTATTTTCTTATGAAATAGTTCTGTGTTTATTTTTTAATTATAGAAATTCCAAAGAACCGCACATCAAAATCTTCCTCTCTTTTTAGTAATGATTTTAGTTCAGAATCTTCCTGCTCGATCTCCATTAACATCTTTCTTTTTTAATAAGTCTCGGGAGCTAGTCTGCATTCCTCCAGCGGGAGTCCACTCAGGATCCTGAACTTTTCTGGTTCCGTAAAGAACACGGAAGGAGAAAAGCCTTCCATGCCCAGGCTAAAGCTATTGCTTTCTTCAGTGTGGACTGTGTACCAGAGTCACTGAAAATTCCAGTAGTGTGCGTTCGAGTATCACTAAATGATGTTCTAACGAGATCAAATTAATTGGAATTATAAAGCAGTGGAACTAGCAAACTAAAGGTTTTACTGACTGGGTTTTGGATTCTGAGAGTCGACTCTCCAGCTGAGATGGGTGGAACGAGTGTTTGCTGCCTTCTGTCGTCTTGCTGTCTGTGGGAAAAAACAAAAAACAAAAGGGCTTCAGTCTTACGGATGTCATTTGGTGTTTGTAAGCATATGTTTTCTTTCAGATGTCTTTCAAAGTATGTCTGAATTTTGGTGTCCTATAAAAAGTTGTTGTAGAATGCGTAATGCTTTGTCACCAAAAAAGAAAAGAAAAAAAAATTTTTTTTTTTTCTGGTTAAACACTACATGTCCTACTTGAAGTCCGCTTGGGATGCTGGTTTGGGCCTTTTTCTGAACCACTGCAGCACGGGATATTTTAAGATCCTCTCCCTTGGAAGGGCAATGTGTGAGCTAAGGACTGTTTTTCTTACTCTCTAATGTAAATATATTAGTATTTGAGTTTTTAAATCACTTCAACATTATTTGAACATTCACTTTGTATTTTTACAAACACAAAACAAACACAGCCGTAGCACTTAGAAGGAAAGACACTTTCCGGAAGTTCCTTCCTGTGAAGGAAGTTTGGAAACCTCTTTTCCGTGTATGTGTATATATGTAACTATGAGTCACTCACACTCACTCTAAACTATGCAGGGCTCGGGAGCCTTTCCAAGCTACCAGATACATGAATTACATGCACTTTTAAGTACATAGGTTTCTATTGGGTGTCAACAACTCTGATTTCTCCCAAAACTGTAGTCTCTCTTACAGTCTTTTCCTACTTTACCCTGTGGATATACACTCAGGAATAAGCTGACATTTTAAGAAATCCTAACAGTAGATAGTCTCAAAGATGGAAAACACATCAGTGTATCTCTACACACTGGCACACTGCTGCCACTTGTTCTGCTGCCTGACTAGTTAGCTGCTGCTAGTGCGTTTGTGGATGTTGGTGATGGTGCAGACCGAGCTCCACATCGCCCTGAGGAAACACAAGTCTGCTGGAAGGTCGGCTGAGCATTTCGCTCAAGGCTCCTTTCTTAAAATAGCAAAACATCAAACTCTGTTTTCATTTTTAGGAGGTTTGACTCTAAGATGATGGTGTCTTTTGAAGCCCAATTTCAGTCTGTCTCTCTTCAGAAACAAAAGTTGTTAATCCCATCATATCCCTTAATGTGTATTAATATGTGTTGACATGAGTTATTTTGATACAGTTTTAAATTTATCTTCTGAATCAGACTGTACTGTGCTGGTACTGCCAATGAGAATGAATAGACCTAATTTGGGGGGTTGGGGGGCATTTTTTATCTCTGACCTGGGTTATTGAAATGTTAGACCAGAGCTATTGATCCCACACATTCTTGGCCTAAAATTCATTGAATATTCTTTCATATCCCAAAAATATAAAATAAGGGGTCAGTGTTCATAATGTTGTTTAGTTTATGAAGTTTGCTTTTAGTAGTTTAGTAGTACACGTGGCTGAACTATGTGTATAGAGGGGAAACTGGCTTTAATCCATGAGATTGGGGACTGATGTGACTTGCAGCAGGTAAACGTAGTTCTGTGTGGGGTAGGGTAGGCACTAGTGAACTTTTAATGTACCTTGTGGAGTGTGGTTCATAGGGTAGGTTGAATAGTGGTGTGCCTCTGGCTTTTGAACCCATCTATACATCTTTTTTTATGCTGTACTAAGGTAAATGTGAAGTCTGAGTAAGGTTGCTCTCAGAAAAAGAAAATATATGTGTATAATAAAACATTTAGGCCACAGGAACTGGCATTTTACTTGGTATAGAAATGTGATAAGAACCAAATCATAAGAATACCAGATCTCCTTTAGAGGCCATCGACAATGCGGCCGTTCAGACAATCCCACTTGCAGTACCCACTGTGTGTCGAAGTTAGAGAACTACCATGTAGATCCTAGAGTGGAAAGAGATCCAAGTTTCTTACAGATACTTTTGGTCTTTTTCTTCTATTTTTTGTTTTAGTTTTATGATTTTGATGACTAAGTTCAAAGTCATCTGTGACTCCTAAGGAAAATAGCAGCATGAAAGGCAATTCCTGAACTGTAGTTGTTTAAGTGTTTCATGTAACCTACCCTTCCTCACCTGCCCCTTTAGCTTCTTCTGGGACACGTCCCTAGACCTCAGTTAGCCCGACGTTTCAGTAACCGGTTAGATTGTAGTGACTTCTAGTGAGAGTTCTGTGTGTTTGTCTTTTCGTAGAACTCTCTGTGAAACTTTACCTGATCCTTATTTGAGCTCCCTCAAAAACTTTTTATTACAATCATCATCCTTTGACTTGTTCAGGTTCTAGCAAAGGGCACAATCCTTGTGCAGTCGAGTTCCAGTGGTAATGCAGACAAAATGGAGGGACGGCGATTGCAGCAGCTGAGGGGGCCGCAGAGCGACATCAGCGTGCCGTTTGCTGGAGGTGAAAGGTGAACGTTTCTCAGTAACTACACTAGGCAAAACATGTGTCTTCAGAATATTTAATTTGCCTTTTAGGGAAAAAATGTGTTTCATGAAAACACTTATGAGATACTTTTTTGCAATTCTGAAGCATTTACGCTTTTATCTTAGGACTGAATTCAAAGGGAAATGCTGATTTGACTTTTTTTTTTAGTTATTGGATTGACTTTCAACTTTCTGTAGTTATTAAAACGGCAGTGATGGGTGCTATTCCCGGTTCTGCAGTGGTTTACTTTGTCTACAAATAATTTACTTTCAAATCTCATTACAGTTAATGTTACTAAAAGAATTACTGTGCACACTGCTAAAAGGTGTTTTCGCATTCTCAATAACACTATTATATGAACAATGTTTTAATGAAATGTTAAGTTGTCTTTTTGTCCTATAGATTGCAATGGATGTTATGTAATTATTGTATTGGCAAATCTTTTGATTTTTTTTTTCCTCTAGAAAACCCTAAGATTGTGCATCAGCCTCCCATATTCTGAATATTATAATGGTGTGGCCGTTTCTGTAGAAAGAATACTGGCAAGTGTGTGTGTTAAAAGTAACCTCTGTGTTTGTGTGTTTATGTGGGTTCTGTCTAAGAGATCAGATAGCTCTGGAAGCTTCAATGTGTACCTGCACAGGGCTGTGTCTGGGCTAAGTGGGCAGGTGGTACGGAATCCTGCTCTTGGATGGGGGGCTGGAAGGTCAAGATTCCTGAACTCCACTTGCTGTTTATGTACCACATCTGTACTTCAGACTGGTGGTATCTTAACAACACTGCATTTCTTGTGGTTGTGCTGTTACTGGTATAAAGTCAAGTGCCTTCAATGCTAAAGGCTCAGAAATTTTTCTTAAACTGATTTCATGTCCTATGCAAGTGTTTTCTACAACCTGCATAACCAGTACTTTGTAAAACTTGTTTACGCTTCAATTGTACATAGTGTTTTTTAAAGAAATATATAGTATTTTTATTTAGGTACCTCCAAACTTGAATTCGTCTGTGTGAAGCATTGTAAAACGATACATTTCTCTTTTGAGTACCATTACAGTTGTACAAAGGTTTTCACTGGTTCTATTTTTCTACTGTTACTGATAAGCATGTAACACTGACTTATCCTACATATAGTTGGCATTTCAAATAAATGGCTTGTATAGAACCCGCTGAGTTGGATACAGTCTGTTTTAGCGTGTAGCATACAGCCTTCAGTTGCAGAAATGACTGTTCCCTCTAGGGTAGAATTGGGAGGGTTTTTAGGTGAATGTCTCCTCTGTTTCTAGGATTTCATTTATTCAGAGGCATTTTTTAATTATTAGTAGTATGATTTTCTTGGAAATCACACATATTGGGACATTTCTGAGGACTTCATTTTACAGATTTAAGCAGAAAGTTCCCTGTCCAGGAGTTTGCAGAGGAGGTTAAGCCCCCCACCGATGGGCACCGAGCAGCTGGGGTGGGTGAGGCGCAACAGTCCGTCAGTGAGGACCCAGGCCCGATCCCAGTGGTCACGGCCAGCAGGTGTCGGAGACCTGAGTTAGATTCTGAGCTTTCTTCTCTTTCAAACTGAGGCTCAGTGGTGTTTTTCACCTTGAAAGAGAAAATGGAGTCATGATCTAAAGTCTAGGTTTCTGAGGAAAAAGAAGCATGCAAAATGGAAAGTTTTCTAATTTCCATTTCATAACATTGCTATGAAATAGTTCTTATTTTAAAATTTTGCTTCAGTCATCTCACTAATGAGTTCTGTCCTAGTACTTCACTCTTCATGCCTGCTAGGCGAGTCTCTCTCTTTATAATTTGTACCCACCTTATTAAACTGGGAAGCATCAAGGAAAAATACAGTCTAAGGTTTTTGTGGGTGAACATCTTAAAAATCTGAAAAAGAAGAAGAAATCGACTTTTATTTCCGTACTTTTGGATTATCCCTAGAAAAACTGGAATTCCGGCTAGGTTCCTCAGCCACTTCCCACCTTACCTCTCCTCAGTACATTAACAAACGTTTCTAGTCCACTCTAGTCCGGAGTCTGCTAATGTGAAGCAGCAGAGAAAACAGACGTGATACCTTTAAACTCTTCCTGGAAATGACTTTCATCCTAAAATTAATCAAAACAGTTCAGGGCAGTAGGAGATTTTTGTGGCTGAGGGAAAGACTGGGTTGAAGTGGCCCAGGTATTAATGGAAAGAGTCCAACAAGAAATACGCTGGACTCTGTGCTAAGCACAGACCTGTTGCCATCGAGTCCAACTCATGGTGACCCGATGTGTTAGACGGAGTAGAACTGCTCCATAGGGTTTTCTTGTCTGTAATCTTTACAGAAGCAGATCACCAGGCCTTTCTTCCACAGTGCTGCCAGGTGGGTTTGAATCACCAACCTTTAGGTTAGTAGCCTGGAACAAACTGTTTGCACCAGCCAGGACCACCTTTGCTAAGCACTTGATACATTTTTCCCTTAATCCTTCAATAAATCAGGTACTAGTTCCTTTAGTCTGTGAATTAGGCGCTATTGTTAGTGTCATTTTACAAATGAGAAAACTGAAACACAGCCATAGTAACTTGTCCAAGGTCGCACTGCTAGTAAGTTGGCAGAGCTTGGGCTCAAACCCTGGCAGCCTGGCTCCAGAGCCTGAGGTCTCAGCAACCATGTTGTGCGGCAAACTAGACCATGAGGCATCCAGGCAGGAGGGTCCTGTGCAGAGGTGGAAGGTAGGCATTTGTTTGGCAAACATTTATTTCTCCAGTAAGTATTTGCTGAGCGTCTTCTACCTGCCAGACACTGCTCAGTACTGGGG